ACTTCTGAAATGCCTCTAGTCAAGACCACTTTTTGCTTAATGCTCTAGTGCAAAGTAATTAACAGATCTTCCATGTTTAGAACCATCCAATTTCCAGATGTTTTCTGATGAAGTTTCACTTATACATACGGACTTGTAGGGATAATCAACCGTCACCCTTGCATTAGAAGCAATTCGAATAATGTTAACCGGACACTCATTAAGTTAAATAACTGCATTTTGAGAAATCGAAAGGTGATCTATTATGCTCTTTCTCGTGTGAAATGTGTAAAAACTGCAGATTAGTAATTGTCAATATCTTGAGCATTCTAAGTTAGTGGAGCTGAACAATAAGAAAAGCACTTCAGTGAACCCGTCGTCATAATCTACATCCTATATGTTAGTTTCTCGAATAAACAACCAGTTCATTGTGAATTATCCTTTAATATTTACTAATTTTCATGTCACCATCATTTATTTGCAGTCTGATTGCTCAATACGATCATGGGCTCCAGCTGGGAACCAAGTAAATCGCACGGCCTGTGCTGTTCATTGGGCAGAGATTGAATTAGTCACATAAATGATAACAGTTGACTAGACTAGACTAGACTAGACTTAAAAACGTGTGGAAAAAGTTTTGCCAATAGAGACTTTTGGAAAATTCCCCGCAAACGAATTCTGGCCATTGCGTAAGGTACACTCCCTGCCCCGAACTGATTGGATTGGAGAGGGCATTTTCTGATCGATATTCAAATCAATTTTAACTATTAACCTTGTCTCTCAACTATATTCATTATTAAATTAATGTTTCGATTTTAAGCCGTGTACGAAACCCGAGTCGATTAAAGGATATTAACCTAATCCTTTTGCTGTTAAAGAAGTCACGGACTCCAATTTACTGTACAGGGACTTCTTAATTGAAACTCTGTAATTCTCTAATTTGATAATAAATTTTTTGCTGCTGGCTCTTCTCAAAGCTATAAGTTCCAACACTCAGATTGAACCACGTAAATTTTTTGGCAATTTTTATTATTCCTTGTTTATTTCTCTGGTGATTTCATATTAATTTAATCGCAGGATCCGTTGGTGTTTCCATGTTGCACTTCAACATTCATCGTCGAGGACGATCAATACTTCGCCGAGGACGATCAATACTTCGCCATGACAACAACTTCTACACTCAGGCATAGGCATTGCTAAACTCCTATAAAATGGCTCTAACTTGCAGAAAGAAAAAAATAAGTTAGAACTCCTAAGAGTTTTATAAATTTTGGTCACTTGAATCTGCAGTCATGAAAAAGGAAATGCTGTGGGTACTTGTGGTGCTTTGGGGTATCGCATGCTTATGGGGTTCTCGTGGGTGTTGGGAACAAGAAAGGATTGCCCTCTTAGAGCTCAATGAGACACTCGACCTGCCATACTACGAGGCGGACACCGGGGGATCAATTTCCAACTGTTGCAGCTGGGGAGGTGTTGAGTGCAACCCCACCACAGGATGAGTCACTCAGCTGATGCTTAACGATGCGAGGTTTTACCGATATGGCATCAAAACTTGGTACCTAAACGCTTCTCTGCTTCTTCCTTTGAAGAACTCAAGAGCCTTGACTTGTCCTTCAACAATTTAGGAGGGTGGATTGCACCAGAAGGTACAAATTCACCTTTCATCTATAAAACAAGAGATCTCATTATTTAATAAGCTCATAAGTTAACCACGTTCGCGTTCTTCTTCCTCGTTTCCTGCGTTATAGATGATTATGTCCACGTCATCATTTATCCACAAGTCTATGATATATTTCACCGGAATAACAATACCTGTTCGCGCACGTACTTGAATAGATTTCTGCGGAACTGCTTTTCGTTGTTTGTTTGCAGAATCAAACCTGCTATATACAAGGCTGAGGAAACTAGAGGTGCTTTACTTGAGTTCGAACTCTCTGGATAATTCTATTCTGCCCATTCTCGGTACGATTCCGTCTCTCATGCATATATTCCTCCGAGGCAACAATTTGAGTGGGACTTTACGGGTGCATTTGTTTCGCGGAAAACTTAATAATAAAGGAAAATCATTTTCCATGAATACACTTAGTTTGCCTTTGTTTGGTGATACGTGATACGTGATGAATACACTTAGTTTTCCTGTGGGCCTTCGAGCTCGAAAGTTGTGCGACCCGGCGAGCTCATCATGGCCACTATATTCCACGTCGAAGTTCAACAACCGCAATTTGGGTGGTGACGGACGCGAGCTCGAGACACGGCAATTGGGGACGGTGGGCCTACCTAATATGCTTTGGGTTGGGGTTGTGTTTTTTTTTTTTTTTTTGAATAGGTGGGTTTTGGTGGTAGGTAAATTATGAATGGTGAGCCGGAGGAGCAAAGTTGGGGAAAAATATAATACGATTAAAATCGTGACTATGTCAAAAAATTACAGTCCCTCGTTCATCTTTTCGATACAATCTCTCTTCTGCACCGAATCTTACACTGCACATCCAGTCCGCGCGGCAAATGAGAACTGGAGAGCAAACCAAATTAAAAATATAGTGTTGCCGCTATCTCGCGAGGATCGTCGCGAGGACCTCTCTTCAGGCTCCCAAACATTGACAAACATACGTAAAGCATTGCCGTCCAATTACATCAATGCGGCATCTCCACTAAGAAGAAATGAGCATCTAGGAAAGCTAGTTTGCGTGCGATCCAACTTCATTCCACTCATAATGAAACTGGTTTTACTTGGAGATCTTTCCATGTATCGATGAATAAATTGTACAGGGTCTGCAAAGACTCAGTGGTCATTCTCTTGCCCCATCTTCTTTTATTAATGTCGAGTATCCGGGGACTTAGTTAAAGAAAAATTGGGGTCGCATCAACTTAAGAGGGCAAATTGAATCATATTAACCCCGTTAACGTATAAATACATCACAAACCGTCATGATTTCAGTAGCCTAAGCTATGCATAACCAATGGAGGTCAAATTCTACCCAGCTAGACCAGTTGTAGGTTCTTTATTAGCGAAAAAAAAAATGAAGAGAAAAAAGATCAAGGTTAAACAGATAAGGTTAAAGACCAGAAGCAATACCAATCAACTACCGAGCCCTTTTCGATTCTCTAAGTATTTTGTGCTTTCTTCAAACTTTGCAGTATGCATTGGACTATATGTCAGCATTTTCCCTATAACTTATTATTCAAACTCTATTAATCACACTCGCAGCGCTTTCGGTTCAAGTGTTCAATCATTTTGTCCTCACTGGGGCAATTTGTGGGCTCCGATCTCAAGTTGTGCAGATAAATGGTCGAAATGGGAACCTAGGTTCAATCTTTATGGAGATATAGTTGTACATCTTAAGCCCGCTCTATCCCAAGTTTATACTATAAGTCTTTTCATGACCATAGAATAAATTCAATTTGAAAAATTAGACCATGTAGGTACCGATACAGTAAAATAGGTAACGCATTAGTTGACGGACAGGCCGCCAGTGCCTCAGTAGCAAATAGCGATGAACTCTCACGGTCAAATTTTGTGGACTTTAAATGCCTACTTGGGACATCTTTTTGGGTTGTACAAAAGAAAGCGTGTGGGGTCAGGAATTGGTAAGAGAAAAGATATCAGGAAGTGGTTAGAGAAAAGAAAATAAATTAAAAGCAAGGTTTTGCTTTTTGGGTTTACTTTCCTGGAGAAGCCGAATAGCTTTAGAAATTGAGAGTCACCACATAAAGAACAAAAGAAAGAACGTACGGACGTTCTTGAATTAGTTGTGGGAAGGGTTTTGCTTTGGGCTTAAATATGCAGTGATTTGTGCCGTCAGTTTTACATCCAATTAAGTTGTACACTTTTGGATTTGGTCTTAATTTAGCTGTGAAAAACTCTCGAGCGTATCCGATTATAGTGAATGATTTATTGCTTGCTCTCTTCATGGAGTAGGTACCGATATTTGAATCGAATCACATAAATCTTCGGTATCGTTATTGTCTCTCGTTTATTTCTTCAATATTTTTGTGTCGATTTAATAGCAAGATCTTGTCAATTTTCGCGTTAATTTTACAACATGTCTACTTTTGAAATCCCTCCAGTCAAGATCACTTTCTGCTTAATGCTCCATTGTGAAGTAAATGAGCAGATCTCCCATGTTTAGAACCAACCAATTTCCGGACGTATTCTGGTGAAGTTTCACTTAAACATGTGGACTTGTAGGGATAATCCACTGTCGCCCTTGCATTAGAAGCAATTCGAATAATGTTAACTGGACACTCATTAAGTTAAATAACCGCATTTTGAGAAACCGAAAGGCGATTTGTTATGCTTTTTCTCTTGTGTGAAATGTGCAAAAGCTGCAGATTAGTAATTGTAGTATCTTGAAACTATAATCATTCTGAGACACCGTTTGTTTCGCGGAAAATAAATAATTTTGAAAATATCTTCTTAAAAATTATTGATTGTATCGCATACAAAAATGAACAACAAAAATTTTGAAACATAAATTATTATTGATAATAAAAATAATTTATCATTGACTAATTATTTTAACCGATACAGGGAATCGTTTATAGGAAATCATCTTTTTCCTTATGAAACAAAGGAAGCCAAAGTTAGTCGAGCTTAACAATGAGAAGAGAACTTCAGTGAGCTGTCCATCATATCTACATCCTATGTTAGTTTCTCCAATAAAACCACCAGTTTATTGTGAATAATCCTTTAACACTCACTAATTTTCATGTCACCATCATTTATGTGCTGTTCATTGGACAGAGATTAAAGTAGTGGCATAAATGATAGCAGTTGACGAAGACTAGGCTAGACTTAAACGTGTGGAAAAAGTTTTGCCAATGGAGACTTTCGGAAAAAGTTCATTGCATAAGGTACACTCCCTGCCCCGAAGCTGATTGGACTGGAGAGGGCATTTTCTGATCGATAGTCAAATCAATTTTAACGCTAATTAACCTTGTCACCGAAAGGAGCTGAGCTGTGTTCATCGCTAAGAATGGCCAAGACTTTGGCCATGACCACGGCAATAGGCATCGCTCTGAGCTCCTATAAAATCGCTCAAACTTGCAAAAAACAAAACATAAGTTAAGAACTCAAGAGTTTTTATAAAGTTTTTGGTCACTCAAATCTGCAATCATGAAAAAGGAAGCGCTGTGGGTACTTGTGGTGGTTTGGGGTATCGCATGTTTATGGGGCTCTCGTGGGTATTGGGAACAAGAAAGGATTGCCCTCTTAGCGCTCAATGAGACACTTGACCTGTCAGACTACTGGGGATCGATTTCCAACTGTTGCAGCTGGTACGGTGTTGAGTGCAACCCCACCACGGGACGAGTCACTCAGCTGATGCTTGGTGGTTTGAGGTCTTACCGATTTGGCATCAAAACTTGGTACCTAAACGCTTCTCTACTTCTTCCCTTTGAAGAACTCAAGAGCCTTGACTTGTCCTTCAACTATTTAGGAGGGTGGATTGCACCAGAAGGTATAACTCCACCATTCGTCTATAAAACAAGAGATCTCATTATTTAATAAGCTCATAAGTTAACCACGTTCGCGTTCTTCTTCCTCATTTCCTGTGTTGTAGATGATTATGTCCACGTCATCATTTATCCACAAGTCTATGATATATTTCACCAAAATAACAATACCTGCTCACGCACGTACTTGAATAGATTTCTGCGGAACTGCTTTTCGTTGTTTGTTTGCAGAACCAAACCTGCTATCTTCAAGGCTGAGGAAACTAGAGGTGCTTGACTTGGGAGATAACTCTCTGGATAATTCCATTCTGCCCATTCTCGGTACAATTCCGTCTCTCATGTGTATAGACCTCCAAGCCAACAATTTGAATGGGACTTTACAAATGAATGGTAATTTCTCCGGCTTATTTTCTGCTCATAATTCAGTACAATATCACCTTCCTTGACTTGAGTTTTAACTCTCTGGATAATTCCATTCTGCCCATTCTCGGTACGATTCCGTCTCTCAGGTGTATATTCCTCCGAGGCAACAATTTGAGTGGGATTTTACGAGTGCGTTTGTTTCGTGAAAAACTTAATAATAACGAAAAATATTTTTTGAAAAATCATTTTTCAGGAATACACTCAGTTTTCCTTTATTTGATGATACGTGATGGAAATCATTTTCTGATAGTTGGATTTTATTGGAAAATGATTTCAAGTTCATGACTTTATTTCAAGCAAAAAAAATCGAATTTTTTAAATATTTTTTTATTTTTTTTTTAAAAATCGAATTTTTAATTATTTTTATTTTATTTTTTGAAAAAATTGGAATTTTAATTATTTATTAATTTTCATTTTTTTTCCTTTTCTTTTTCATTTTTCTTTTCTTTCCTTTTCTTTCTCCCCCTTCCTCCTCCGCGACCGGCCGGCAACGGCCACAAGCGAGCTCGAGCTCGCCGGCGTCGGGCGAGTCGCGACCTCACCGCGATTAGCCGAGCCCAGGCTCGCCGGCCTCGGCGGAACTCGAGCTCGCCTGGATCTGGTGAGCCGTGAGCTCGCCGGTCCGAGCCCGGGCTCGCTTGGATCTGTAGAGCCGCGAGCTCGCCGGCCTATACCGAGCTCGGGCTCACCTGGATTGGCCGAGCCTCGAGCTCACCGGCCTGGGTGTTGGTCGGTCGCCGGGCTGTCGGCCATCACCGAGCACACGGCCGGCGGAGGAAGGAGGAGGAAGGAAAAGAAGGAAAGTGAAAAGAAAAAAAAAAAAAAGAAACGAAGAAAGAAGAAAAGAAAAGAGAAGAAAAGGTTAAAAATAATAAAAAAAAATTAGTTTTTTTTAAATAATTAAAAATTTGATTTTTTTAAAAATTATTTTATAAGAATAATTTTATTAATTAAGAAAAAATTAAAAATTAAAAAATTCAAGAAGAGTAATTCCAGAAAGTGTTTTCAGCTTCTTAAATTAGGGAATTCACTTTCCTAATTTTATATATGAATTTTTCCTTGATCGGAAAGTGTTTTTAGGTTGACTTATCATTTTCAACGAACCAAATAGGTGAAAGTCAAAAACGGACTCCTCAAAAACATTTTCCCTTAAATAAACACGCCCTACATATGAATGGTAATTTCTCCAGCTTATTCTCTATTCATAATTCCATACAAAATCGCCATCCTTGACTTGAGTTAGCAATGTTTGTGTATAAATTAGGTGGTTTCAGTAATTTAAAGGAGCTGGACATAAGTTATAATGCAGTTGATGCAGCGGCTACTGCTGAAGGTATTGTTTCAGTTTTCATTCAGGATCCTCGTTTTTATTCATATATTAGACTAACTTGCATACAAGTCATGCAGGCTCTTTAATACCTTTACATGTGCTTCATATTAAGAATATAGAAGTTATATATTACAACCCCCTTCTCTTTCCATATAGAAATGTTGCTAATTCAATAGATTCCTATCCCGAGGCATCCTCGCGTGTGCTTTGACAATTTACTGCCAAGCGAGTTAATTACTTGGAATTTTACTGCTAGGCATAAAAAACTTGAGCCACTTAGAGAACCTCCACCTAGATGGTGTCCACTTGAAGGACGCGGGGACCGTCCTGCGAGCATTAGGGGCACTATCATCCCTCAGGAACCTTTCTCTCCAGCAGAATACAGTAGAAGGAACAATTACTGCTCAAGGTTAGTCGAACCTGTTAGTGAATGTATATTCAAAATAAGTTTTTACTAAAAAAATGGTTCCATTCACTCGTGATAATTCTGTACCATTTCTTGATTATGCTTGTGTAAGGAAATCTGATGTTCAGTTATCTTTTGTTTTCTGGGAAGATTTCCATAACTTCAGTAAGTTGGAACAGCTCATCTTGGATTATTCTTTGTTGAATACAAGCATGGGAATCCTTTCTAGCCTTGGTCCTTTGACATCTCTTAGATTGTTGTCCTCATACAGCACCAGTCTAATTGGCAACCTATCAGATCAGAGTAAGTCTTGATCTCTCAGTGTAAAAGCTAGACATAAAATGGATCCTTCATGTACGTGTATGTCCTTGTTATATGTGCCGGTATGTCTCATTGTAGTTGAATTGACTAGTGATGTCACTAACAGGCTTGTGCAACCTGGTAAAACTAGAAGAGCTGGATCTTAGCAATAACGGAATTACCGGCAGGCTTCCTACATGCTGGCGAAACATGACCTCTATTCGGATTTTGAGTCTTGAAGACAATGAATTGACCGATAGTGTCGCGTCATCTCCCCTCACAAGTCTTAACTCACTCGAATATCTTTCCATTTCGGGTAACCATTTTGATATGCCCTCATCACTAGGTCCACTTGCAAACCATTCAAGACTTAAGGTGCTGTTGCTTGATGATACTAAACTAACAATTGATACCAAAATTGCGTCTCTAATCCCGAGGTTCCAGTTGAAGGTTTTTAGAACATCAAATAGTCCATCAAGAGGTTTTAAAGTGACTTCTCTAGGCTTTCTCAATCATCAATATGACCTGAGAATCTTCGATCTCTCCTCGAATGACATTCCTGGTCCCTTTCCAGCTTGGTTGTTGGAAAACAATACTAAGTTGGAGCTGCTTTTTATGTCAAATAACTTATTTACGACGCTTGAGCTTCCATCAATGACCCTTTTTAATCTTTCGGTGATGGACATATCCAACAACAGCATGAGAGGAGAGCTCACTGCCAAATTTTGTGCAGATGTCCCAAATCTGCACCACCTTAATCTATCAACCAACAAATTGGAAGGGAATATTCCATCTGAACTGGGTGGTCTAAAATCCCTATATGTCTTAGACCTGTCTAGCAACAATTTCTTAGGGGGACTACCTGTCGAGTTACTAGATAGTAACTCATCATTGGTACACCTCAACGTAGCATATAACAACTTGCAAGGAGAAATTGTATTTTCCGACACAACCATGAGCCTAAATTTGACAGATCTGCGGTTAGATCACAACAAGTTCACTGGAAATCTCTCTTTCCTTTCGTCACTCGAAGAATTGTTGATATTGGACATTAACAACAACTTTTTCAGCGGCAAGCTTCCCAGATGGATTGCAAACACGTCACAGCTTGTGGTCCTTGACTTGTCCAAAAATCAGTTGGATGGCCTCATCCCTCAAGAACTCTTTAATCTTGGTTCGCTCAAGTATTTGGATTTGTCTGACAACAATCTCTCTGGTTCATTAGCATCATGTTTTATAGCACCCGAGTTGAGGCACATCCAACTGTCTAGGAACAAATTGAATGGTTCAATCGTGCATGTGCTCTCTAACAGCTCCAATTTGGTGACCTTGGATCTGAGTGAAAATGAGCTCTCCGGAAGCATACCCAATTGGCTAGGTAACCTCTCTCGATTGAGCATTCTTTTACTGAGAGGTAATAGCTTCGGCGGAACATTTCCCGAGCAATTGTGCAAATTGAAAGGCTTAAGTATGATCGATCTTTCTGATAACAATCTATTTGGTCCATTGCCTAGTTGCTTGGGACCCATGAATTTCTCCGAAGGATACACCGATAAGATAACTTCAACACCGCTTGGGGGACATGGAATTGGAGTGGGGTCACCTTGGTCTTACGTGAAGACAAGCCATACCTGGGACATTGATGTAACAACGGAAGTAGATACATTGCAAGTTCCACACACTGCTCGATTCACAACAAAAAGAAGGTTTGATTCTTATAAAGGCTATGCACTCCTTAAAATGGTAGGATTAGATTTTTCTCGCAACCAGTTCAGCGGCGAGATCCCACCAGAGATTGCAAATTTACAGGACATGCTTGTCCTGAACCTGTCGTATAACAAGCTTACAGGACGTATACCGATATCGTTGTCGAGCCTCACAAAGATAGAGAGCATTGACCTTTCCTACAACAACTTGATTGGTACTATCCCTAAAGAGCTTACTCAGTTGAATTCCCTGGAAGTCTTCAATGTGTCTTACAACGACTTGTCAGGAGCCATACCAAACAAAAATCAGTTTGGGGCATTCGATGAAAGCAGTTACTACGGAAACCATCTTCTGTGTGGACTGCCGTTGAGTAAGGACTGCTTGACAACCATTAACGTTAATTGCTCGGCAACAAAATCATGCACGAAAGCTAGAGAAGATGGTTTCATAGACAGAGAGACATTCTCTTTCGGCTTCGGAGTGTCATACACGACGGTTTTACTGGTAATTCCAGTTGTTCTGTTCATCAACCCCCAGTGGCGGCAGGGATGGTTTCACTATGTGGAACTGGTTATCACCACATGTCGGAGCTTGATCCTCACATGCTACTACTTTGTGCAGGACGGTTTTCGAAAATTGTCTAATCGCCAAACAATTTAGGTTCTCTCTCATTCTGCATTTCCAGGAAATGGTAGGATTGGGTTTTTTTTTTGCTGCCATATACTATTGTCGTTGATCAACGGGCCTCAGTGTGGATCTACTAGGTCAATGTAAGTTTTTACCTTCATATTTGAATTAGGTCTTGTCCTAATTTCCTTGAAAACAATGCATCGAGTGATCTTTCCCTCTTTCGAAAATGAAGTTTTTTAACATAGTTGCTTGTTCATCTTTATTTGAGTTAGCTGATCATGCTGCTAACAATGACAAACAACACTAGAGAAACACAGCTCTATCTCTTCTCACCTCGGTTTTGTTTCTACGGTGACACATTTGCTTTCCTTTCCAAATAAACATTTCCGTCTCCGTATATCGCTCGGTCCATTCACAAACCGTTCGAGACATAAAACTCCTCTTTCTTGACAATATAGCTCTAACAACCGAATGTTCTTTAAGAGTCCTAGGTTCATGGCAGATCCGCAATTTGGTTGAGACACCGATTTCCATCTTACTTTTATGAAGGTTTAGTTGTGCGGAAGGGTCTCATGAGATAGTTAACTACACAATGGAACTTGTATTTTCATGACTATTTTTGTTCTTCATGTCTGCGTGGAATGACGTTTTTACATTTTGCTAGGAGCTTAGCTTTAGCTAGAAAAACAAAGTAACTGCAATGAGGCATGTCCTATTCAGTCTGAAAGAGATCTAATTTGTTGTCTCGGTGTCTAGGCCAAATTTCGAGCATGAACCAACCCGGATCAAGGCCCGGATTGGTGCAAATGTATGAAAATGGCTACTACCCACTAGTAGGGCTCCCGAGCAGGCTAGGCCGCGCAACCGGCTGCCTGGGTTGAAGGGAATAACCTCCCATGTCGAATTTTAATTTTTTTTAGAGCCTTTTGATTTCTTACATTTACATGACATTTTGCTTTGCAAGAGTATTTGGATTTTTTTTCTGTCATTTCTCTTTGCGAATTCTCGCTTTCGCGAGGAGGGATTATGAGAAAGCTACAAATTATAAATCATCGACCTTATCGATTATCTCAAACACGCACAAGCAAGTTTAACGTGCAAAAGCGAATTACTATATCAGATAGCATATAAATAAGGTATCATGCCATTTTTTCTCAAAAATGGAAAAGAAAAATAGAGAAACTTTGGAAAAGCCATCCCCATTTTTGAAGATACACAATTTGCATTTTCAGAGAAAGACCCCAGTTGAAAAGATAAACCTCCCCTCCACCCCGCCCCAAACCCCATTTTTTATCCCCACCCCTCGATCTTCGGCCACACCAATGTCAACTTCTCTCTCTCCCCGTGGCATTGGAGCTCGAAAGTCGCACTCAAAGCCAGGTCCACAAGCTCAATGTCACGACCTACCCCTCGAGGGCCGAACTCGAAGGGGCGGGTTTAGAGGTAAGTGTTCATGAAACAGTCTATACGGTACATCATGAAAGATGGTTCATCCGTACAGTCCATTATTCATGAACGTGAATCTTCCCTAATTCATACCTCGCGCGACAGAGGATCAATTTTATCTTTTAAGGAGTCGCCACTAGCCTAGGTCGGAGGTCGGCTAGAATACCTAACCAATACGTGGGAATTTCGTATTGGTTTCTACGAAAACCAGAGATCAAGGTTCGGGGACTAGCTTACGTTAATATTTCTATTAACGCCCTTTCGGTACCGCTAAACTTAACATGGTTGTTATCTAAGTTGTCATGCATTTGTTCTTTACCATTTTCATGTCAAAGTTTTGGTCCATAATGTGATCATGCATCTTGTTTTTGTTGTTTTCATTTAAGATTCTAAACTAATCCTATCTTAGTCTAGAAAAGAAAGAAAGAAACGATTGTATTGAAAGGCATTACGTAAAGTAAACACTCAAAAAATTTGAAAAGACGAGCTAGTTCTAAATGCGAAAAAAGTACAAAACCCGCAACTCGTCGGGTGTTTATTACAACACAAATTGAAAACCCGAGACATGATCGGGAATGAATTGAATATGAATTGAAACCGGATCGGACATCGGTTTATCGCCACCATCAAATGAACACAAATTGAGACCGGATTGGACATCGGTCAATCGCCTTGGTCTTTCACCATTTTGGATTATCTTCCCATGGACCGTCTCTCGGGTGTCGGCGTTTACATTCACAACATACATTCACGACAAACAATGTCCAAAAGAATAACCAAAGAAAAACAATGATGCAAACAATTCACTAATCAAGCACGGGCCTCGGGGTCGGCCTTTGTTTTTCATGCGTTTCGATTCACCACCCACCTAATCATCTAACATTATTTGATTAATGGTTAACGATAATGAGCTACCATTTGCATTCACAAAACGGCAACTCATATCAATTAACCCCTAAAGTCGGGTTCTAAGTGACTACAATGGACTACCCGCCGAACATGCACCGGGCCTAACATTCATCTAACAAACACATGCACAGCAATGAAATAAGCATGCATTCAGGCCCATGGGCCTTATTTCGAAGCCAATCAAACAATGAAAAGTGGGCTTCATAAGGACACCACTTATTCAGTTATTATCTAATTCGGATTGCTTCTGTTCAGATGTGATTAACCACCCTAATGACGTCCAAATGAAATGATTTAGGTGTCATTAGAAATCTTATGACATGAGGATCGAAAGTCAAGAAGACCATTTTTTCTAAATCCTAGCCGATTTTCCCGAAAATATCAAATTTGATCTCAGTGACAGGCTGGTCTCAGTTCTGTTAAGGATTTCAAAATAATGGCGGGAAAAATAACAAACCTTATCAAAACCGGGTGAAAATTTTTAGGCAGTTAAGATTCTTCATGTGCAACAACTTTCATGTTTTGAGTTTTTGCTAAAAAGGACTCTAACTTCATCAAATTCGGAGAAATATCTTTTAAACTCCAAAAGAATGAAAATCAGATCTGGACACAGATACTGATCAGATTGTGAAAATTTATTTTGAAAATTCAAATGACCTTCGATTTTGATGAAATCAGTATCAATAGAAAGATCTCAATCTCAGCGTGAACTTTCGTGAAGAAAACTTTGTCATATTTCGAACACACGAATTTATGAAAATCGAAGAACACACGAAGGTCAGTCTGAAACTAATCTGTCACCAGATTCATGCACACATGACGTTGCACATCGTACAAGGAAAACATGCTTGGAATTTTATGAAAATTTTATGATGAACAGATCAAGATGTGTTCTACAACTTTCATGAGGAACGTTTTTTCAAAAAATGATCGTAGAAAATTATAGAAAATCATCAAGCAGCACAACGTCAGTCAGGAGAATATCAGAACAGACTTGAACACTATGATTCTGATTCTGATCCTAACTTCTAACAGTGTTTTGACATAGCAAATTAAATCCGATCGAGGTATGCAATATGTCAAATCGAAGCTTAAAACGCGTTCTATGATTCTCTAGTTCATCGTTTTGCGAGATTTCAACGTTAACGAGCTCAAATCAGCATCTCAAACGTGCAGGTTTTCCAGAACACGAATTCGCAGAATCACGTTCAAGTGCACTTACCTTGTTTAACGATGCTTCGACGCACGATCGAGCGATCCGGCCTCCGTATTCAGATCAAGGACAGCACGGAGAAGCCTCAGAAAGCTCGGCCAGCCTATGATAATAGATCGCACAAAATATAGTGAGAATCGATCCGTTATAGCACGAATGAACTAGTAATGAAAAATTGAATCAAGGAACGCGATCCGGTGGCTGTTCAACGATCAAATGGACACCACAGCCGCACGGAAACGTCGAGGAATGTCGCTGGAGGATCGGAACCGCCGTGAGGGACGCCGATCATCCGGTTCAGCCACTTGAACCGGCTGATCGCATCACCGGCAGCACCGCCGGTGATGTTGCCGAGAGGATGAAGCCGCCGGAAATGGATGTTCCGGCCACCAGCGAAGGAGGCTAGACTTGCGACCAGCCTTGGACCACCGTGGGGGACGACGGTGGGGCAGCAGCTCGCCGGAAATTGGCCGGCGATGAGGCGGAATGCCGGCTGGCCGAGAGAGAGAACACGAGAGAGAGAGAGAGGCGTGAGCTAGAGAGAGAGAGAGAGAGAGAGAGAGAGAGAGAGAGAGAGAGAGAAGAGAGAGAGAGAATTCATATCTGAAAAAAAATGTTCCCCCGATTTTGGAGGGAAAAAACAACTATATCTTCCCCTCAACTTTGAATATTAGCCCTTAGATTAATCAAATGGCCTAAAATGCATCCTTAATGATTAAGAATATTCTTTAAAGACTAAGGATTGGTGACATGGCATCATGGATGGACATGATCAATTCTAAATAAATGACCATGATTGATTTGCTTATCCCCTAATTAATTCGCTCAATCTTTAATGAAGGGTATTTTGGTAATTTTCACTTAGGGGCATTTTCGTAATTTTCAATTAAGGGCATTTTTGTCATTTTTGGGCTCAAAAGGATGTGGCTGGCCTTGGCTAGTCGGAATGGACTGTCGACCGCCGGATTTTCGGCCAGGAAAATGGCCGGTCCCTGATCGGGCCAGATTCAATTTGAATCAAAGCTAGGGTTGGCTAGGTTAGCCCGGAATTGGCTTTGATTGAACTAGTTCAATCCTTGATTCCCTTTGTTCCAATTTGGTACAATTTGATCTCTATCATGATTAATTGACCCCATCAATATCAAATTCAATCAAATTGGATTGAACCGATGCACAAATTGATCCAATTTAACTTGTTTGTCTCAATTGCTCTTGAATTTGGATAATTGCATGGCCAAGCTAGACTAACAAATTTAATTGAAGTCCAATTAACCAAATTGAGTCTCAATTCATCAAATTGAATATTAGTCTAGAGTGGGTCAAGTTGAATTGCACTAATTGGACCAATTTCTCTTAGACTTCTTAATCATTGGATCACTAAATTGATCAAATTGACTCAAATTCATGTGAATCTTCCAAAATTGATTTTGGATTTGGACTTCATATAAGAAATTAGGCTCATTCGCGCCTCAATTGTGCAAATCATGAAGAATCAATCCAAATCACTGATTATGGCCAAAATTGGCGGTTTTTGTGTTTGGTTTGGAATTACAAAATTGGTTCCAAAATTGAATATAAGATGACCTCTAGATCAAATGTCATGAAGGAAACTAACCTAAAAAATGACTAGAAATGAAGTAATTTCATTTTTGGCCGATTTGAATCAAATT